TAGTAATGCTATCAGGGTCCAGTCTTTAAAGAGTAAACTGATTTGCATGGGTTTAATTAAGTAATAAAAGTACAATGATGAGCTGTACTCTCTTGCTTGTGTGGGGGAACAATCTTTCTCTTGCCTAATTAATGGAAAAGAAATTTAGTACAATCTCTTTGAAGGATAATTCTGTGAGATCTATTAAAATAAAATAGACACATGTCTATTGATCCAGCAAGTCTACTTCTAGGAGTTTATTCTAGAGATCCAGACATGCTAGTAAAGATATAAGTGTAAGAATATTCAATGGAAGAGTTTAGAAACAACTTCACTATTCATCAGCAGGGACTGGCAGATGTCATCTCTCTAGAAAGCTGTTTCAAGACCTACCTTGAACTTAATGCCCCTCCTCTGTGTTTCTAAGTACTCTTAGCATCCTTTGTCTTACTTCTAATCATGAAAGGATATGAGAGTATTTGTCTATCCTGTGTGGTTACTATTATTTCCTTCAGAAGGCTTGTGAAACCCCCGCAAAGACTGAGATAAAAGCATAGAAACATTAGCAGGATGTTGTTTATGGGAAAATGTGGCTGCAGTTTAAAGTGAATAGGTATGGGGTATGAGCATGGTAGATGTGTGGCTGAAAAGGTGATCAGGTCTTGAATAGCTTTATATGTCATGTTATATGCAATGTTAGGGAGTTTAGACCCTAGCCTAGATGATTTGGTTTAATATCTTAGGGAAAAGTCATAAATGTAAAACCCAAAGACTTTCCCCTTTCTACAGAATAAAGTCAAGAAAAGCAACTGAGATTCGGGGAGTGGGAAAGAATGAGAGTAAAGTTGATAGAACTTGCCACGCTCCTTTCTGCTCTCTAATGGAGGATGCTTGGACTCCTTATCGAGTATCTCATATGGGTACCAGCAAGCTCAGAGTCTGAGGCCTCAGTTTAGCCTGAGTCTGAGGCACAGAATTGATTAGAGGACCAAAGAGAAGCAGCTTCTGCATCAGGCTTCTCCAACATTTTGATGCCATTCCTGATGTTTGGGAATGAGCTCCAAGAGTACTTTAGGAAGTACATGAGTTAGCTAGTCTTCTATTTCCTCAAACACCTCAACCAGAAGCTGGATGAGGATAAAGGTGACACTTCTTTAGCACAGACCTTCCTAGAAGACTATTAACAGATATTTTAGGGGGTGATTTTGATCCTGCCCTCATCTATGTAATTGGAGGACTCAAATACAGTGCAGTCTGCTGGGCATGAAAGCTAATCCTCGCTCCACACACACACAAAAATTGAGGCTTAGATGATTTCCATTCTTACCAGAAAATTCTTGTTTCCATCTTCTACATCCCTAGTTCTAAATGGGGGAAGGTGGCCATATTCCTATGAGGATGTTGTGGTTGCTAGTACAGTGTGAGTTAAGGAGCTTCTGCCAAACAAATTCTCTATTGAGTGCCAATTTAATTTTTTTGTACTCTTAAACCATCAACTGACTTTTTTTTTTTTTAATGATTGGAGATTCTTTGATTAATAATCCTTTTGGTATGAACACTAGTCACTTCCTGTCTATATCAGAGATGCAGAAACCTCAGGGGAACAAAATCAGAAGAGAGAAAGACCCTGGCCACTGGACTAGCCACAGACTTCCTGGAAGATGTGTTCTGAGTAGTAAGATGTTGTTTATTGCCGTAGAGTCAATTCTGACTCATAGCTACCCTGTATAGGGTTTCCAAGGAGTAGCTGGAATTTGAACTGCCAACTTTGCAGTTCAAACTAACCTTGTGGTCCAGTGCTTATCCTTTAGCGTTACCATAAGCATTGAAAAACTGGAAATCAGATTTCCAGAAGTTGCCTTCTGAGTTAGTGTGTGGCTTACTGTGGTCATTGTGAGCTTCCACCATGGCGTACGGTAGCCAGGGCCAGAAAGTGCAGAAGGTAATGGTGCAGCTCATCAACCTTATCTTCAGATACTTGCAAAATAGATCCCGGATTCAGGTGTGGCTGTATGAGCAAGTGAATATGCGGATAGAGAGCTGTATCATAGGTTTTGATGAGTATATGAACCTTGTATTAGATGACGCAGAAGAGATTCATTCTAAAACAAAGTAAAGAAAACAACTGGGTCGGATCATACTAAAAGGAGATAATATTACTCTGCTACAAAGTGTATCCAACTAGGAATGACTAAAGAAATGAGAAATTTTTGAGGGCAACAATTTTATCCCCCTTCCCTTTTGTAGGTGTCCTTGTTAATGACTATAGTTCTAAAACATGTTCATATTGTTTTTATTACCTTTATGTTGTTATCAGATCACAATAAATGCTGTGAGGTTTTTTGCTAAAAAACTGGAAATCAGAGCTGCACTGTTGACCAGAACCTTAGTATTGAATTATAAGGATCTAGACATACCTTTTCAGGTTAAGCAAATGTCCACTGAAATCATTCAGTTCATCTGACTCTTCTCTAATTTTAAGTTAGCCTCTTTCTTCTCCAGAAAGATTTATTGATGCTTTCAGCCCAGGAATGCTTCCATCCATCCATCCCTGGGTTAAAAGGCTAAATAAAGTACATCTTAATAAGACTTTCAAGCTCCAATCCCTTCCTACATCCCATATTTGGTGCCTACCATCTTCTCCTTCTCCCTAAAATTCACCTATATACATGCACACACGTACACACACACAGTCTTTTATCCACTCTCAATTAACTGCAGTCCCAGAACCAAACAAGGGTCTTTGTTTTCTCCATACCTTTTAATCCCTCTGCTTACTCTATGTTCTACCCTACTCCCAGTCCATTTGGTAATTTCTTGCTCTTTCTTCAAGATCTAGCTTCACTCTCTGAGTTTTCCATGTTTCATAGAACACTTGTCACAGAGTGTTATACTTTATGTATGTACCTGCTTGCTTTCCTCACTAGGTGTGCATATGCTCCTGTATAGGGCAGAATTGGATTTAAGTCAACCATGTTAATTGAAATGATTTTATAATAATAATATGGTGAAGAGTAATGCTAAGAAGAATACAATGAAGGATTTTGAATTTATTCTGCTGAATCACTCAAAAAGAAATGGAAAAGGGGGATTGTGAATGAATGTCTATCAAGTACAAGTAAAGGATGGGAGTGTGAAGTTATTATCAGTTCAAAGTCTTAAGAGGGAAGCTTAACTGATGAAGGGTTTGGACCCAATGAAAATGAGATGTCCTAAGAATAAGTTGGAGTCCTGGTGTGGTGGATTAATGAATCGGACTGTAAAACCATTTGAACTGCAAGGTTGGTGGTTCAAGCTCCTTGGAAACCCCATACAGGGTCATTATGGGTCGAACCGACTCAACAGCACTTAACAACAACAAAGAATAAGTCACACCAGCACTGAAAGAGCACCAAAAGCTCCAATAGGCAGTGGACCCCCCAAATAGGATTTGTAGGAGACAAACCCCCAAAATTACAATGAAAATGGCCTCTTGCTTTTCTTCCTTCTGGAACTGGTGAGAATGAAGTCACCATGAAAGCATAGGAGATGGGTCCTTGAATGGGTGTGTGTTTAGGTACGTTAGTATCAGAATGGCTCTTCAGTAAGAAAAAAGTGTGTTAAAAATTAGAATTTATTAAGCCTGTATAGGGGAAGAAAGTCCCCCACTGAATAGTTTTCATCTTGTCTAGATGGGTCTGGTTAAAAGAGATGGGGATAAGATTCTTATGATTCAACAGTGAGTAATAGTTATCATGACTAATTGTGACTGTCACAATTAAAGTAAAGATAGAAGTTTTCTATCAAAAGCGGAGGAGTAGTTAATCTTACAGTGAAGAAACAAAAGACCCTAGGACCATCAAGGGAGAAGAGCACAAGCAGAATGCTAGACCTTATCCAGAGAAGCAGCGACACCAGAGATGGAGGTAGAGATGGGGACATGGAGAGGGGGAGCAGCTAAAGACTCTAGATATATGGGAAGAGAGGGACTAAGCAGACTTGCAGATTGTGCCCTTTGGTGGTATAAATATATGCCCAAGTGCTTAAAAAAAAAAAAAAAAAGAACTAAAATGAATAGAGAGAAATACATCTGATGGTACACAGAGGGGATTATAATCATTGTAATGAAATTAGGTGTATGATATGTTGAATGCAAACTGATGCTCTGCCCTGTAAACTTTCACTTACTTTACAATAAAAACTTAAAAAACAAAACAATCAAACAAAAACAACTAGAATTTAGCAGTCTTGAGGATTTGTCTTCAACTTTCCTTAGGGAGATTTCTTGATGAAAATGGTATCACTTGTTTAATTTGTCACAAAGTTGAACATGGCCCATCAGTCTGTGTAGAGGGGTGCATCTGAGAGATTCAAACGGAACTCTGGCCCTTATCACCGGAATATTATAGGAAGCCAACCCACATAAATATCTTTTCCTTTCTAAAACGGAATAAACAAGAGTAGTTCCCATGGAGTCAATTCTCATTCATGGTGACCTCCTGTGTTTCACAGTAGACCTTGACTCCTTAAGGTTTTCTAGGCTGTGGCCTTTCCAAAGCAGAACCAGCTTGCTAGGTCTTTCATCCAAGGTGTTTCTTAGTGGGTCCCAATGACTAACATTTTGCACCACTAGGAAACTATAAATTGAATAGAATCCCAGATTTTGAGGATATAAACTCACAAGTAGAACTGAAAGTCTTTTTAATATTAACAGAGAGAAAAGTCTCTATGAATAATTACAATTTGAACCTAAAATGTTCTAAAATGCTTAGGTACCTCAATGAACTTGAGTATTAAGAAACTGCCTGTACTAAAATATGTACTGGCCAGGGCTTATGTCAAACTGTAGGATGAACGCTCATCTGTGCTGTGTGAGGTTGAAATCCTCAGCCACCACACAATATAGGTGCTTCTTTACAAACCACAGCAAAACAAAGGGAGGCAAACAGTGGCTTCTGAAAAGCAGAGATGGTTTAGGAAGATCTCCACTCAAGATACTTGTTGTTGTTAATACTAGGGGTGAATAATCCTAGCCTGGTCTCTCAGGTTTCCACAGTAGTGGTCTCCGGGGTTTCCCGGCTCACTGCTAAGTGGGAAGTGGGGGACTCAGGTGTTCCTGTTAGTCCTGGGAGGGTCTGTGGCTCCTTTAACTCCAAGACCACGCGGTGCAGAAGGCCTTTGAGCAGCTGCATTTCTTGAAGCAGAAGGTCCACGCTGGGTTTCAGGTCTCTGGCTGATTGTTCCAAGGGCGTCGGCGGAGCGCAGGCCAGGGGTCCAGCAGTGGGGGCGCTGCCCACCGGGAACAGTATACCCGATGAGGTGGTGTTTGGGAGGAAGGTGACAGATGGGACCGATCTGGACACTGGAGGCTTTCTGAAGGAAAGCGGCTGGTTATTGGGCGCCAAGGCTGCGGCCTGTGGAGAATCTGTGAACGGATCACACCGAGTCACAAGCGGTATAGAACTCTAGGCCGGCATAGGGGATAGGTGTGGAGTTGGAGGAAGGGGAAGAAAAAGAGATTCGCAAAGTGGTAGAGTGGGAAAAGTGGGGTGAGGGTGGTGAGGAGGGTGGAGGAGATGAAGAAGTGGAGGCGGAGCTCGAGAAGGAGGGTGGCCAGAGGAGGCAGGGCAGCCCTCCAGCTGGTAGGCCCTCACTCACCTTGCCCAGGGAGCTGCAGCCAGGGGCTCCGTTTCCGGACATTGCGGGTCGCGGTAGCCGCTTCGCACCAGTACGATTGCAGCTCTTCGACCTCGGGCTCGAGGACTGTGTAGTCGGCGCCCCAGTCAAAGCGGCGCACGACACGACTGTACTTGTAGAAGGCAAACTGTAGAGACGTGTCGCGCTTCTGCGGGTGCAGGTGCGTTTCGCAGCGCACCATCACCCCGCCAGGGGCCGCGCCGCGGCCTTGCACCCGGCCCATCACTCGCAGCACCGGTATCTGGAACAGCTCTACGAAGAGGGCCCAGAGACCGAGGACGCACGTGGGGCGGGCGCAAGGGTGGGCTGGGGAGGGCTCGGGTGAGGCGGGGGAAGAACCTTTTTACTTCCTGTTCCCTCCCGGCTCCTCACCGACCCGAAGACAAATAAAGAGTCGGGAATGCTATATGCACGCATGGAGGGTAGAAAGAAGCCTTTTGAAAAGTGGGGCAAGAGCGAGTTCAAGAGCTACAAAGTCTTGGAGGGAGGCGGGAACCAAGCAGGACACTTCATTGTCTCATCTTAACTGATACCCACTTCGGGCTCCTACTGCCTGGAAGGAGGAGCTGCTAAGCCCGCCTCTCGGGAAGCTCGGGAGCCGTTCCTTCGCGGGGCTCTATATTCTGGCTCAGGATCCGGACCTTTTATGTAGGGGTTGATCCTGGTATGGCGCTGTAGGCTAAGCACTGGACCGCGAGGTTGTTGTTAAGTACCGTGGAGTCAGTTCCGACTCATAGCGACCCTGTACAGGGTTTCTTAGGCTGTAACTCTTGACCGGAGCAGAAAGCCTCATCTTTCTCCCGCGGATCAGCTGGTAGTTTCGAACTGCTGACCTTGAGGTTCGCAGCCCGATTCGTAACCACTACGCTACCAGAGCTCCGACCCATAGCGACCCTATATAGGGTTTCAGAGGAGCGGCTGGTGACTTTGAACCGCCAATCTTGTGGTTCAAACCGACCTTGCGAGACTCCAAGGTCGGAGGTTCAAATCCACAGTCGCTCCTTGGAAACCCTATACAGAATCGCTATGAATCAGAACCAACTCCACGGCAGTTAATAATAACAAATGACATAAGGAGTCCTGGTGTGGGGCTTTGTGATAATTCACTGGACCGCAAGATTGGTTTGTACTACAAGGTCTGCGGTTCAAACTCAGCAGCCACTCCTCGGAAACCCTATACAGGGTCGCTCTGAGTCGGAACCAACTCTACGGCGCTTAACAACAACAACCGGAATATAGTACTGGTGTGACGCTGTAAGATAAGCACTGGACTGCTAACTACAAGGTCGACTGTTCAAACCCACCAGCCATTTCCTGGAAACCCTATATAGGATCGCTATAAGTCGGAACTGACTGGATGGCACTTAGCAACAACACTTGGGAGTAAGAGGGGTCCTGGATAAGCACTGGACTGCTAAGTACAAGGTCGGCCATTCAAAGCCAGCAGCCACTCCTCAGAAACCCTATTCAGGATGTGCTGTGAGTCAGAACTGACTCCAGGGCACTAACAACAACCGGAGTAAGAAGCTGGGGTGTATGATTGGGTGGGGATAGGGACGCCCACCCCATGCAATCTACAAGGCTAAATGCACCATCACTGCAGAGGAGCTGAGACAGCGTCCGCAGCCTAACAGAGAGAAATTGGTATGTGCCAGTACTTGATCCTCCCAGCCCAGTTCCTGTCCCAGAATCTCCCAGTGCTTGCTTGCTCCCGGGCCCCAAGGCTTCCCCACCTTGCACGGTCACTGCCACCTTGGAGGAGAACATGGGTGCGCTCTCCACCGGTATGCGCATGGTGCCAGAGCACTGGTAGCGCCCGCTATCGCTGGTGCGCGCCTGAGGCACCGTGTAGTTGGTGCTGGAGTGGAAGTAGCGTACCGCCTGGCCATCGCGGTAGTAGTGAAGCTTGTAGACGACCTTGTCATACCAGCCGCGACAGCGCATGACCAAAGACTCGCCCTCGAACACCGCAGCATAGGGCACTTGTAGAATCAGCCAGTCTACAACAGACAGACACGACACCGCAGGCAAGTCTGACTCCAATAGAAAGTCAACAGTCATTGAGGCCCCTATTCTCCCTGCTCTGCATCCATACATACTCTCGCTCCCCTGCCCACAAGAAGGTCTTCGGTGGTTGTCACCTGAAGTCTTGTGATGCAGGATGTATTAGGAAATGAGAGGTATTGCCTTACTAGATACTAGGGAGGTAAAGGTGCCTGAGACTTGGTTCCAGCCTCTAACAGCACTTACTGCTGTAAGAATCAAGTTTAAACTCCTTAGGATAGATAGCAGTGTCTTCGTACTTGGCCGGCACTTACCTCTTCACCACCATCTCAGGATTCTCCTCTCCCCTATTTTCCCTTTACTCTTCCCACCTTCCACTCCTAGTAAACAGCTAAATTCAAGCCCACCTCACAGATACTTGAAAAGTTTTAATACAAAAAGAGAAGCAATAATAATTTGTTCACGAGGCATAGGATTGGGGAATATTATATTATTTTAGCCTGGTGGCACTGTGGGTTAATGCACTAGACTGCAAAGTCGCTTTGAACCATAAATAAGGCCAGTGGTTCAAGCTCACCAGCCGCTCCTCAAAAACCCTATACAGGGTCACTGTTGGTCGGAACCGACTTGACAGCACTTAACAGCAACAATAGACCACAATTAAAATGGAAAGAGTAGCCTTTCTGCATCCCCTAACATGTGGGGCACTGCTTATTCCAGACACTCTAGACAGGTTTCAGTGTGGCCTTTCTCTGCCCGTATGGGAGTGGTCCAGTGTCCTCTCCCATAAGAAGGTTCAGTATTAACCGTGGAGATGCATGATACCCCTCTCTTCATGTGCAGACCACTCACCATTGGATACGGAGAGGTGAATGGGGTCACTGACAGGTGCTCCCTGTGTCTGGCATCGATACACTCCTGGTGTCTGCACTTCTATGCTCTTCTTGTGTGAGGGCAGCAGTAGGTGCCCCAAATACCAGAGAGTACTGATGGGTCGAAGCGCGAGGAGTAGAGGGTGGTATCCATCACACCGCAAGGTGACCCGCTCCCCCTTGAAGATTGTAGTCCACGGTGGGTGTAGAGACAGTGTGGGCTTCTCTAGAATAGCTGGGGGTGGTAGGTGTATGGAAAAGAGAATCAAGTTAAGATGTTCAAAGACATAGTCTAAATTTGGGAAATCTTAGAAAACTTCACTTTCCAGAACCTAGTCTACATTACTAACCCATCCTTACAGAAGTAGAGACCATATTCGTTGAGCCTAAAAACTATCACTCAACACTCATTTCTACTGGCAAACTGACTATCCCCAAACAATCAATAAGTGGTGCATTTACCCAAGCAGGTCACTTGGGAGGCAGGAGAAATGTGCAGATTGCTGAAATTTGGAATGAGGGATGTATAAAACTCACCAGCATGTCCACTGCTTGGAATTGCTAAACAAGAAGTAAAATAGAGGAAGAAAAGTCAGGAATGGGAGGAAGTAATGGAGTTCATGCCTCTATGAATAACTGCTTCCTTAGTCATGAAACCAGAAGAATTGGATAGTGCCCAGCTACCATTACAGAACATTTTGTTCAACGAAAAAAATTCTATAGAAAAATCCTGAACAAAAGCGGTAAATGTAGAACAGAATTTGAAAATTTCATTGACCTGTGGCGCTGTAGGATAAGCACTGAGTCACAAGGTCAGTTTGAACCACGAGGTTGGTGGTTCAAACTCACCAGCTGCACCTCAGAAGCACTATACAGAGTTGCTATGATTCAAAACCAATTCAATGGCACTTAACAACAACAGCAACCAGACTTTCTGGAGTCGTAGAAGCTGGATGAAAACCCAAAACTATTGACCTGAAGTTGAATTCTGTAAACATTAAACCTAAACTATCCCTGAAGTCTTCTTAAAATCAAACAATATGAAAGAATGTCTGCCTTAAGCATGCACTTTTCTTTTAAGAGCAATTGTTATGGGATCAAATTGACACCAGCAAATCAAAAAATTAACTAGTAACAGTAGGGGACAATGAATTTATATTAATGGGGAACGAAAAACTCACAGAAGGAGAGTGAGAATGGTTGCACAACTTTAAGAATATAATCAGAGTTCTTGAATTGTATATAACTGTTAAACTAGGCATACATTTGGCTATGTATATTAACAACAACAAAAGATAAAGGAAGAGAAGTTGAAGATGAAAAGAAAGAAAGGAGCTTAAGAATATGGGAAAGACAATAGTATTAAGACCTATGTTTTCCTCTGCTTCTACTCTTTCCAACTCTGAGAAAATCCCCTCATTCTTACTCCCTCTCCCCCAAAAAAGATAATGATTGCTTGAAGTCTTCACACAGAAATGTTTTCAGTACACACCCACCCACACACATACACCTTGTTCTACCCTCTATCCCACCACCGAAAAGCCCATAAGCTGCCACTACCTCATTGAGGACTCACCCAGGAGCAGGAGGGCTGTCAGTACGTGCATGGTGGGTCTGCCTGCAGCAGCTGCAGAGAGAAAGCAATGTGGTAGCATGGGATAGGAGATAGAGAAAAGGTGGCCAATGGCTTTGACCACTGAGCACTGGGGAAATTATTGCTACTCCTACCCATTCCAAAACTCCTGAAAATGGTAGACAGGAAAGAGTGGGCAACAGGTTGGATATGTGCATCCCTGCCCAGGTATTCCAAGCACCACGCCCTGTCCCATCTACTACCCCTAAAGCCACCTCACATCTCAGGCCAGCCCAAGTCCTGCTAATGGGTCAAGCTGCCAGCCTGGTTTCTAGAGAAGGCCTGCAGATTCTCTGCTCTCTGAAACACAATTGAGCCACAGAAAGCCTCAGGTTTTGGCAGGTGACCCGGTAACCTTCAGGCTCTCATAGACATTCCACTCTCCTTTTCTCAGACCCTCACTTCCCAGCTGGTCCCTTAAGCCTCATCTAGCAAGACACATCCTCATGCCCTCAAGGTCGACCTTGGACTTTTGTTTCTCATCACTCTCTGATGACAGACATTAGGTTGAGGACTGGTGAGGTCAATGTTGAGGTCTGTGCACACAGCTCACATCCTTCCACAGATGAGTAGACAGGAAGGCATGACTTACCAGCCACTCTTAAGTGTCGCCGTCTTCTGACTCCCCAGTTAAGGACAAATGCAATGTGTTTCCTCTTCTTCCCTTTCTGAAACCTTAAAACAACAATACAACTACAAACCTATTGCCATCAAGTCAATTCCAACTCATGGCAAACCTTGTGTTACAAATAGTTTTGCTCCATGGAATTTCCCTGGCTGTAATCTTTACAGACACAGATCACCAGGCTTTTCTTTTGTGGTTCTGCAGAGTGGATTTGAACCACCACTCTTTAGGTTAGTAGTTCTTATTTGTGCCACCCAGCAATCTCCTGAAATCTTAAACCTCCCAAATTAGAAAACTCGCTTTTTTCTCCAAACCAAAACCAAACTCACTGTCACTGAGCGGACTCTAACTCATAACTACTCACCCCAATAATCTCACACTATGGTGCCTCTACTCACTTGTTCCTTTCTTCCTGCCACCTATCTCTGCAGCTCCACCAAAACCATACTTCAATTCTAGGACCCCTTCTTTCTAGTAGAGAAGCCACTGTATCGGCCCCTCAGACGCATCTCAGATCAGACCTTGAGGCTCTGCTTGTGCTCTGTGAGTCATGTGTCTATAATCTGAGCAATAGGGGAACTTGAATTTTCATATAAATATTTAATGAATTTTCCAGCCTGATAGTATGTCTTCTTGGGCTCTGTCTCGTCCTCATTTGTGGCTCATTAGAACCAGGGCACCTCCTTCAAGCTCTGGCAGGAGGGAGATCGATTATCAGATGTTATCAGTATTCTCTAAGATAATATCTTTCCCTCTCGCTTGCTGATGTCCAAAGTTTCACTCAAGAATTCCTTGCTATTTGGCTTAATATGTTAGCCCCTGTGGAAAATGCAAATGTGTCTTATGGAAATGTGACATTAAATTGTGCTGCCTTCTTCAGATTCAAGTTTGATAGCAAGTTTTGATATATAAAAAAAAGTACAGTTTAAGAGTCTGAGAGATGGGGAGGTATTTGATACAATGTTTCAGTGTAAGGGAGGGAGAATAGAACTAGATGCTGCCAGGAAAGACCTTGAACTTTCTTCTTTAGGAGTGTCTAGGCTAGGCCATGCTTTTGGACTTCCCCATGCCCTGCCAGCCTCCTCACCCAGGGCCAGTGTAGGGTTCACCCATAATCCACAGCCTGCCTGTGATGGTTAATATTATCTGTCAACTTTGCTAGGCCATGATTCTCTATGGTTTGGCAAATATTATGGAATTGTCCTCCATTTTGTGATCTGATGTGAGTTTCAGTTGACAGAGGAATTTATTTGGGATTGTGGCCTGTATCCAATATATGGATGTTCTGGCAAAGCTAACACATGCTGTCTCTCAACCCTGCACTCATCCTGTGGTCTGACCAGCCTAATTCTTGGAGGAGTCTTCAACCAGATGCCTGAACTGCAGATATTAAAATTTCCAGCTCCCACACCCCATTAACCTGAAGCCTGATGCCTGACCTGGAGATTTTAGAGTCATCAGCTCCTGCAACTATGAGAATCAAAAGAAGCATTCAGTCAGCCACCTGACTCACAAATTTGGGACTTGCTAACCATCACAACA